GGCGGCGGGAGGGGGTCTGTGAGGGCCAGGGCGTGGGGGGGGGGGGGTCTGTGAGGGCCGGGGCGGGGGGGGGAGGGGTCATGTGTGTGTGTGAATGGGGCAGGGTGGAATTGGGGCAGGGCTGGGTGCTGAGGGCAGTGCGGGGAATCACGGGGTATCTAGGGTAGCTTGGGGGGGGGCATAGTGCATAGCGCAGGGGGGGCTGGCACAGGGCACTTGCAGGGGATGCGGAGGCAGTGGAGCCTGTGGGCTCTGTAGGGTTGGGTGTGGCACCATAGGGCACACTGGGTAGCGTAGTGGTGTGTGCAGAGCGTGGGATGCCACAGGGAGAGGGAGCGTTTGTGACAAAGGGGCTGTGGGAAATCAGTGCTGCTAGGCCTGCATGTGAGAGATGAGTCCATCTTGGTGCCTGTGCATGAACAGGTGCCGTGCTTGCCTGGCCCCCGTTACATCTTAACTTCCTCCCCTGGCTTCACGTGGCTGGTTGTGCCCTGTGTTGCCCTCTGAGAAGAGGCACAGATTAACCGTGTGTAGCTATGCCCGAACTTGGGACAACGTTTTTCTCTTGTCATATGTGGGATCCAGATTGTTCTGGGATAGATAAGCTGCCTGTGTTTCATAATTATAAGTGTCTCTGAAATGGGAGACTGCAGGGTTGCCGCAGCAATTGCTTTTCCTGTCATCTGAGTGGTGAATGAGAGATTGAGGGTGAGAGAGAGAGAGAGTGTATCCCTGGAGGGGCATGAACATAGAAAGAAGGTGGAATTTGGCCTGCGTCTGTCAGTTGTGTTTCATGGAGCTGTTGATAAATCTCTTTGACCACCAGCTCTTCTTGGAAATTGCATGCTTTCCCTCCAGCCAAATGCGCCTGTTGTTTTAATAGACGCTGGCCCCTCTTCTGTCTTGAGGATCCTGATTCAAGATTTTGGCCTCTGTGCTTAGTAAAGGCAATGCATTCAATACTAGAGAGAGAGGTTCTCATGTCAGCCTGCATGGGCCCCTCTAGGCTAATGCTGTGATCCATGGAACCCATTTCCTGGTGGCTTGTGGAATGAAATGTTCTGAGAGCAAAGCATGAAATGAGGGGTGGGGACCTGGGTCTATCAGAAGGCTGCGGTCTGCAGAATACAGAAGTGAGAGAACCATTTACTCCAGGGGGTTGGAGGAACAGTTTACTCAGCTGGAGGAACAGTTACCCTGACATGAACCCTTTATGGCAAGGGGGATAGCTTGGAGTTATGGGAGGAAGGATGTGTGCGCTTTCCAATAGCAGAATGGGGTTAACAAAGCTGCTGTTGAGTAAGAGGCCGTGTATGAGTCTTACAGCTAGCAGTGGATGGGGAGGGTCAGTGAAGAACCTTGCTCTCCCAGTTCTGAATGTTTCGATCCCTGTTGATTTCACCTAGCAGTCAGTCTGTTGCAGGGTGGTGATTTCTGCTAAAATCCCATGAATCCTCATTTCTTAAAACTAAACTCAGGTGACATTTCTCTTTCACCAGGGTTTATTGAGACTGAGTGGGGAGAAAAGCCTTGATGAAGAACCAAGGTGGGGAGAACAAAGCTGCTCTGCTGCCTGCTAGTCCTCCCAAAATGAACAGCAATCTGGTGCTAGAGGAAGGAGACTTAGCCGAGGCTGCAGCACCCCCTGAAGCTGGGGACTCCCCAAGCCAGTCCAGGACATGCAACTCTGAGCCTTCTGCTGCTGGCAATGCTGAGAGCCTGACCAGTGAGGAGCAGGATAAGAATGAGGGTGTGTTTCTGTTTTGAACTGAGTGGCCAAGTCTGGCTGTGGCTTTCTCTCTGGGGTGGCTGTTGTAACAAATTTCCATTCACTCACATGCGGGAGGCCTGTGGCTTTAGAAGCAGAGTCCTGGGTTTCATATCAGGTGTGTGTAATATCTGTATATGTGCAGTCCCAAAGTAGTAACCGTGTGTATGGGATGGTGGATACAAAGGGGTGAAGATGCATCCACCACTAGTTCTGAGCTGGCTGTATTGAATTATTTACTGTTCATCCATTGCTCTGACCTCTAGGACCTTAGAGTCAAAAAATCAAACAGACCTGCTTTATTGGGCATTATTATTAGCCGCCCCCTCACCACCACCACCCCCGAGCCTATACATTTGCTCTGCTATTGGTGCTATAGATATAACAAAAATAATGCTCCAACTTGGGAAGCCCTCTAATTAAGTAAGTAGTTGGTTGAAATGAACCCTGCCATCCACACTGATGACCAGTAAATTTGGGGTCTGGTGAATGCCCAATGGCTGGGATGACTTCACCAACTGCTGGAGGACCTTACTGACCTCTGCTGTCAGGGTGGTGCATAAGGAGAAAGTCTGTCTCTGAGCTAAGATAGGTTCTAAACTATATACTTCACTCCAGGAGCGGATCTTAGCCGGCTGTTCTTATGAAGGAAAATGCACGTTGAGCCTGCTCCCAATAAATGTAGTGGGAGTTTTGCCACTGACAGATGTTGAGAGCCTGGTCATGCTTCCTAGATTGGAAGGGAACCCAGCCAGAAGTGCAGCTCCGTTGTTAGAGCTGCTAGTTAGAGATGCAGTACCCAGGAGAGTGCATGTTGTTGCAAGTTTGCTGGCCCTGGTAGGAAGCCTTTCCACTGCTCTCTGGTTATTACACAGGGCTACCGCAGAGAGGAGCTAGCAGAATAGAAATTGTTAGAGAAAGTGTCATGCTTTTGTCCTCGTCTCTCCTGTCTCCCACAGCTTCTCGTGTGGAGGAGGAGATAAAATCCTCCCAGCCTGCCATGTGTGATGTCTCTGAAGAGCTGAGCAGGCAGCTGGAGGACATCTTGAACACATACTGTGTGGATGCCAGCCAGGAAGGTCCAGGAGATGATGGTGGGCAGAGCGAGCCCGCGGAGCCAGACGAAGCAGACAAGTGCCGGAGCGAATCCCCCAGGAACGGCGAGCAGGAGCCAGGCTGCCCTGAGATGAATGGAGAAAAGGAGGGCTCCAAGGGGACCGAGGAGTTCCGAGCCAATGACGAGTGTGGGGACCGTGATCAGAAACGGGCCCAGGAGAAGAAGAAAGCCAAGGGTCTCGGTAGGGGTTCCCAGCCTTGGTCTGTGGCCAGCCTGGGGTGGGGAACTTTCCTCCTGGGGCCTTCCATTTTCATAGTGATTTAACTGCCCTATGCTAAAGCCCGTGAAATAAGCATCCTAACCATGCACTGCACAGCGATGCTGAAAAATCATATGGCTCCGTGTGCCATAGGGATGTGAAGAAATATGCCCTGTGCTGCTCAGGCACAGACCAACCCTGATCACTGACGGAGTGTCTGAATTCCGGGTGCACACAGTTTTGGGCAGGGCATGTACAGCTTCGCGCTTCGGGCCAGGCTGAGTGCACGGCTTCTGAGAACTGTCTTCCCCCACACACACACTCTCAGTAAAAGAGAAGGATGCAGGTGAGATCCTACAGAGACCATCAGTCATTCCTGCATTTGGATGAGACAGTAAATTGCCCTGTTTGATCTGCATAAGCTGGCAACAGAGGATTTTCAAATAGGGTAAGCGTGCAAAACGAGTGTGCAATTGCCCGTCTAATTTGCATCTATGTTTATTGTAATTGCTTTAAAAATTAGGCATGAAATTGCACACACAACTATGCACTAAACTTCTTTCCTCCGCTGCATTTACCGGAGGTTGGGATGGTTTAGCAGTTAAACCTGGACGTGTGAGTCCAATACTCCCAAGTTCTATTTCTTGCTGAGCCACATGCTGTCTGTGCGGCCTAGGTCAAGTTGCTTATCCAGCCATCTATCTTAGTATTGATATGACCCCCCACTACTGTAATATCTGAGCATCTCATTGATTTAATGTACTTATTCTCATGGCACCCGTGTGCAGATGGGGAACTAAGACTGAGGCTCAGATCTTCAAAGGTATTTAGCTATAGAGCCCTGCAGCCTGACCCGAACCCCATGGGATTTGACTACAGGTGTTGAGTCCGGGTCAGGTAGGAAAACAACCAGACCGGCTCTGGTCGGCGCTCCTCCTGCCCGGGGGTCAGCACTCGGGTGGCTGCATGTCCTGCTCGTACTGAGCACCACCACCTCGCTGCACTGTGTGTGCTGCAGACTGGTTGTGCTGAGGAGTCACAGTGCATGCAGGCACTTGCAGCTGCCCCCACACTGGCCCCATGGACCTGAGGAGCAGATCCAACCCCCCAGCAGGAGATGGCAGTGGTGCTGATGCAGGTTTGGGGGTGGGGAACTGTTGGGGTCAGGTCAGGAAACAACTTGACCTTCTTGAGCTTACGTCAGGTGGGCTTGGGTCTGGGTCAGGCTTAAAAATTAGGCCTGCGAAGATGTCTATTTAGGCACCTACCTCTCACTGAAATCAATGAGGTGTCTAAATACCTTTGAGGACCTGGACCTAAGTAACTTTCCCGAGGTCTCACAAGAAGTCAGTGGCAGAGCAGGGAATTGAACCTAGGTCTCTGGAGTCCATCCTCCCAAGGAAACCACCCCAAACTAAATTACACTGGTGGCTCAAATTCATGTGGAGAATCTAGGAAGTGCATCCGGGATCCTAGCTGTGGTTTTGTGTGTATTTGGAGCAGGGAATGTAGCAGCTTCTGGTTTCCACTTGGGTGCTTCCCCTTTGTCTTGTGACCCAGAGCTCCGTGTGAAAGAGCTGTTTCTGCTTTATGTCTTGCATTTCAGGCAAGGAGATCACTTTGCTGATGCAGACGCTGAACACGCTGAGCACCCCAGAGGAGAAGCTGGCAGCACTGTGCAAGAAATACGCTGAGCTGGTCAGTTCCTAGCACTACGCTTCAGGCTCTAGGGCAGGAGACGTCTCTCGCTGCCGAGGGAACAAGATTGTTTGGCGACACAGGAGACAGACATGGCCCTAGGTTGAGGGGGACAGCCCATGCATACGCTGCAGTTATTAAACCTGGGTTCTTAAACCTAGCTGCATTTTTGAACCCAGGTGTCCAGAGAGTTTTTAAATCCAGATTGGATATTCTTCTAAAAAATCTGCTCTAGAAATTATTTGGGGGAAGTTTTATGGCCTGTGCCATACAGGAGATCAGACTAGATGATCACAATGGTCCCTTCTGTGCATCTAGAGCAGGGGATAATGATACCGACCCATCTCTCATGGAGTTTGTGAGGGTTGATTAATACTTAGCATGTCTACAGCACCTTCCATGCAAGAAGCCTCACGGTCCCTTACAAGGTGGGTAGCCTCATCACCATTTTACAGGTGTGAAAACTGAGGCACAAAGAGGGGAAATCACTGCCCCAGTATCACTGACACAGATGGGATCCAGGAGTCCAGACTCCCAATTTCCCCTGCACCAACCACTAGACATCACTCCCTCTCCACAATATAAGAGCTATTTTAGTACTGGAAAGAAGCACGTGGATATGGATTAGCTGTACAGGGAACGGCCTGACTCAGAGCCGTCCTCACAGAAATAAGTTCCATTGGAATCCAGAGTAGTGAATGGTGCCCAAAGAGGTTCCTGTAGAGTGATGAGTCCAGGGATAGAGGCTGAGGCCCACGCCATTGAGATAACACTGCACGCCACACCCCACCCGCATCTAAGCCAAGGACAGTATTTAATGCTAGAGCCAGCCCCTGGCTGCAGGAAAGGTGCTGTGCCCAGCGAGAGCTCTTGCTGGAATGGGGGGCTGTATAAGCCATGGCTTTCTCCAGGCCTCATTACTGCAGTGACTGTTTGCACTGTGATGCTCTTGTTAGTCTCTTGGGGGCTAGAACATTCTCCCCCTGAACCCAGAACCCTCTCCCTGGGGTGTTGCTGGAGTCTGCTTTGCTGCATCTTTCCCTCTCTGCTTCTCCCTCCCTCCAGCTGGAAGAGCACAGGAACTCCCAGAAGCAGATGAAGATCCTGCAGAAGAAGCAGACTCAGCTGGTGCAGGAGAAGGACCATCTGAGGAGTGAACATAGCAAGGCCATCCTGGCCCGCAGCAAGCTGGAGAGCTTGTGCCGTGAGCTCCAGAGACACAACCGCACCCTCAAGGCAAGAGCCTCCTCGCTTCCCACCTTGGGGGCTCTGAACCTGAGAGAGAGGCACCAACGGAACAGGACTCTGCTTTCTCTCTCTTCCCCAGATCAGTGGTTGCCAACCTGTTAGGGCAACTGTACTCATTTACCAGAGTAAGGGCTTGGCCGTACCAGCCATTGCCTACTGCCTGCCATTTGTTAGTGTGCTGACCTTGCACTGCTTCTTAGCTTGCACAGACAGTGAGAGACAGGGGATTTGGCATGTCTAGTGAGACAGACAGACAGTTTAGAGCAACTGGTGCGTTGCGATGGGCTAGAGCATCCCAGATGAAGGAGGTGTGCAGTGGCAGTGCCCTGGCATCCAGCACAGAGGCTCTTTGGTAAGGTGGGAAGCTGGGAGCCTGGAGTACCAGTCGCACTCTTGAGTTTTCATAGCTGGGAACCCCTGGGTAGAAAGCAGTATCTGGCGTTCAGCCTTACCCCACATGGGAGGCCAGTCTGGTCTATGTGAGACTGTCTGAGGCCAGCCCACTTTCTGCATAGCCCTGTGTTAGATTTCACTCCACGATACTGCCCATCTCTTCCCCGTCGCTAAACCTACCCAGTGCAGGACAGCTGAAATGGGCAGATCTGACTTGTCCATTGTCTGCCTTTTGTCTCAGGTGGATGGATAGTTGGAGACAGGGGGGAAAAGGGCACCAAGGTGGGATGGGAGGATGCAGGGCAGGGGCCACGCAAACCTCTTTCCTCTTTGGCCTAAATGATAGAACCTGTGCCCTGAAGGGCAGGGTGATCTGGGTAAGTTGCTCTGTGGGTCAACTGGTCCAGATGTTCCCTGTGCATTACACGGGGGATTGACCTGGGTCCCTCCGTTCCTTTTCCTCTTCTCCCGTAGGAGGAAGGCGTCCAGCGCGCACGGGAGGAGGAGGAGAAGCGGAAGGAAGTGACGTCCCATTTCCAGGTGACGCTGAATGACATCCAGCTGCAGATGGAGCAGCACAACGAGCGGAACTCCAAGCTGCGCCAGGAGAACATGGAGCTGGCAGAGAGGCTGAAAAAACTCATTGAGCAGTACGAGCTGCGGGAGGAGGTGGGGCACCCATCGGAGGAGAAAAACGGGGGCCTAGCAGGGATAGGGTGGGGGGGTCTGCAGAGCAGATGGAATCCTGGGGCAGCTGGGAGGGGGATGTTTCCTCCACTGCAGTGCTGGCCTGATACTCCTTATCACCATATTACAAATGGGAAACAGAGGCATAGAGCGGTGAAGTGACTTGCCCCACGCAGCGAGCCACTGGCAGAGAGAGGATTAGAACCGAGGAGCCTTGTGCTCTAAGCACCAGACTGCTGCCTCCCCCATGCAGTCACGTGAGTTATTGGAACCGAAAACATTGAGGTCCCTCCTTCGCTAACCCAGATACTATGAACTAGTGGGCATGCCCCACATAGAACGCACAGGGCCACTGGGCGGCCTGTGGAAGTGTCCTCCAGGGTCATATGCCCTTCTGCTCCTGCAGGATCACTAACGCACCATGTGGGGAGCAGAGCCTAGGTGACCATGTTAGTAACAGCCCCTGTATTTCCCTTGGCAGCATATCGATAAGGTGTTCAAACACAAGGACTTGCAGCAGCAGCTGGTGGATGCCAAGCTCCAGCAGGCCCAGGAGATGCTGAAGGAGGCAGAGGAGAGACACCAGCGGGAGAAGGATTTCGTAAGTCTCCAGCTTTGGCAACTATCTTAGCAAATCCTGTTGAACCTTGTAGCTCTCGCCTCCCTGCTAACGCTTTCCTAAGAGCAGCTGGCCCGTTGGGAGGTAAGGAATTGCCCAGCCAGATGAGGCTGTCCCAGTCCAGTAGCCTCTGCAGTGGCCGTCCCCAGCAATAGAAGCCTTGGTCTGTTCTTCAGCACTGGCTGTGCTTTGCTACTGGATCAGTGCCAAGCCCCTGCCTTGCAGGTGTGTCTGATTCTGACCCAGCTGGCCCTTCCCGAGCTAGGATGGACTCAAGCTCTTCCCTGGAGTCCAGTTAGCTAACTGCATTCCCATCTCCCTCGCTCTCCTCTAGCTGCTGAAAGAGGCCGTGGAGTCTCAGAGAATGTGTGAGCTGATGAAGCAGCAGGAGACACATCTCAAGCAGCAGGTGAGGTAGCATGGCCCAGGCTGTCTGGCTCTTATGGTTCCCTTCATCCTGCGAAGAGGTGGAAGGAAACCGGGTTCCCTTGGGGGAGGGGGCGGTCTGCACTGGTGTGATGGCACCTGGATTTCAAAGCTTGGAAGGTCTCCTTCAGCACAGGAGGTACAATGCAGAGCGGGACCTCCCTATGCCCTTTAACCTCTCTGCTTCCTTGGAGGCAGGAAGAGGTCCCGGTTGTACCAGCATCTTTCTCCGTGCTGGGGTAGGTTGTCCTTTCACACGGGACAGAAGGCCTGATCCCGCAAGGTGCTGAAGTCAGTGGAAGTTGAGGGCACGCACCACCTTGCAGGATTGGGCCTAAGCAAGATGGGAGGATTGTTCCCCTCTGTCTAGTCCAGGACTCTGAGCATAGCAGCTTGTTGCTGCAAGTTACACCATAGAGCCCTGAGCTCTACTGAACCACAAGGGCTTGAATCCTAAGAGTCAGCTCAGTTCTTCACAGAAATCCAGCCTCTCCCATGCTGGACACTGGACTGAGGAGGAATGGGGAAGGGAAGCTGAAACAAGATGCCCGCTGTGCAGTGTCAAGGTCCTTGGCGCTGAGCTGTAATTCCCTCTCTCCCTAGCTGGCCCTCTACACAGAGAAGTTTGAGGAGTTTCAGAACACGCTTTCCAAAAGCAGTGAGGTGTTCACTACATTCAAACAGGAGATGGAAAAGGTACTGTGGCTGTCACCCCTATTGGCCAGAGAGCTGGCATGGGCCTCTCTGATGTGTTAGAGCCACTGTCTGCCACCATCCCCACTGGGTTTCCAAGCTGGTAAAGCGGCAACTCCTTGATCACGTGGAGGCCAGCTTTCACCATCCTCAGAAATCCTCGAGGAGCCATGTACTCCTGGGAAGTAAACCAGCTAGATACAGCAATCATTAGCAGAAGGAGCTTTCCTGTGGAACAGGATGGATGGTGTTGATCTGGGATTGGGTGGGAGAGGTTGGTCTAGGGTTAGCAGTGATAGGCAGAGCCTGCACCTGAGCCATCTCAAAGGTATGGGGTGTTTGGAGCTGGGCGTGGGAGTGGCTTAGTCCCATCTCTTATTTGGGTTTGTTGTGCCCTGGTCGATGGGTGGCTTGGGGAGGCCTGGTCAATATTCCCTCTCAGTGAAACTGACTCCAGTGGGTGAGATGAGGCAAGGCAGAAGGGCTGCTGCACTTTCCTGGGCCGGCTGGCATGTGACCCCTTGCTCTGGGAATGTCCATGCCCCCTCCAGGGTGCTGTAGAAACTGGCCAATCGCAACGCTCTGTATCGCTGTTTCTCTTTTCCTTTTATTACTGTATTTCTGTAGATGACAAAAAAGATCAAGAAGCTGGAGAAAGAGACCACTGTGTATCGGTCTCGCTGGGAAAGCAGCAACAAGGCTCTGCTGGAGATGGCCGAGGAGGTAAGCCCCATCCTTGGTACCACGCTGCGGCACTTAGTCAGGCATCTGGTTCAGCTCTGCATTTTATTGGGTACACTGAGACTGGCAAATAGCCCATGGCGAATGCATCAGAGAGCGATCTAGTGGTTAGAACAGGCAACTGGGAGTCAGTACCAGGAGTCTGATTCCTGGCTTTGTCACTGACTCATTGTGTGATCTTGGGCAAGTCCCTTCCCCTCAGTGTACAGAGGGGCAAATTAAGGCAAAGGGGATAACGAGACTCACCAAACTCGTGGTGGGGAAGCAAGGGTTAATGATGATGCTTGAAAGGAAGGTGCTACCGAGATGGACAGTCACTCCCTGTACCCCCGGGGAACAGGTAGGTTGAAAAGGATGGTGTCAGCCTATGAGTGTTGGGTCCTTCACTAACTGCTGATATGTTTGCCTGTGAACTTAGCCTGTTTCTTCCAGGAGTTTCCCTTTGCCTCTCTTCCCCCGCCTCAGACCCTAGGTTGCTGTATTAGCTGTAAGACTCTCAATTCCTCACCTTCGCTGCTTAGGGACCGTTGACTCTTTTTGCAGAAAACCCTTCGGGACAAGGAGCTGGAAGGGCTTCAGGTGAAAATCCAGCGCCTGGAGAAGCTGTGCCGAGCCCTGCAGACCGAGCGCAATGACCTAAACAAGAAGGTGCAGGACCTGTGTGCCCATACGCCCCAGGCCGAAGCAGACACGCTGGAAGCCCTAAAGGACCCATCTCGAGACAGCTTTGGTGAGCCAGCACTAGGGGGCGCTGTAGCACAGCAGTGCCCCAGGGAGGATTGTCTTCGCTCAGCAAAGCCGATGCACTGCACAGAACCTGCGGAGAACCCCGGAGAACTGAGCATAGGAGCTTTGGGTTAGGCTGGGACTGAGGAATGCTCTCGCTGTGCTGACTAAGCCCTTGGATCAGCAGGTGGAGATAGGGGAAGGGATGGTAACATATGAATGGTTCCACAGACTGATCTAATGTCCTTTCCTTAGTCCCGGGACTGGGGGCTTTGAGATTTTCCAGTTTAGGCTTTTGGAGATTTTTTTTTTAATATATACATATATATGATATATAAAACGATGTGCAGGGCAACATACACTTTTATATATGAATATATATAAACTAGATTGACCCACTTCCCTGCGTGTGCGTGGATATCTAATACACGGATTTTCAACTGATTGGCCCTTTTGCTAAAAGACCTTGTTAGTGGTGGGCTGTGATGCCCTTTTAAAAGCTAGTGCAGCCCAGGGGGCCAGATGGGTGAACCGTCTCCAGTCCCTCCCGCCAGCTCATAGCATCCAAACAACTGGAAATGTCACGAGCGCGGTCTGCAGCCGTTCTGCTTTCAACGTGACTTTAAACCAGAGAGTGGAAATGGGGAGAATTTGAAGCATTTCTCAGCCTTGGATTCTCCTTTTTCTCCTTCCTGGTTTAAATCCGACCTGGCTGTAGGCAGACTGCTGGGGTGTGCTGGCTTATTTTTTCCTGGTTAGCACTTTCTCTTTCCCTTAGAAGAAGGAGGGAAGAGGCTGTTTTTCTTTGTCATACAGTCCATGTATTGTATGGGAGCAAAAGGAAATGGAGAAACAGTGGGGGTCTTGGACACATCAGAAAGCCCCCTAGTGGCCGTCCCTCTGGGCCTTTGATATTTCCAGAACCTGCTGATGTCTCAATAGCCTTATAATTCACAGTTGCCTCTATGCTATACGCACACATGCACAAGTGTATTAAAGAGTTAATCCAAAGGTCTACTTCCTACTTGTTTTGCACATGAATACCGTGAGGGGGTGAGGAGGTCCTCCAGGTTATTGTCTAGATTCCTTTCCCTGTGGAAGGGCCTCTGTGCTGCCCCACGGTAGGTGTTTACAAAGCAGTGGTTCCATAAAGACAAAACCTCAGCTTTCTCCTTGGCTGAATAGTTGGGCCCATGAGCAATGTGCTCTGGGCTGAGCCCCTGAGAAGGGAGCTATGTCCACACGGATATTCTACTGGCTGGGACGTGCTGCTGCTCCAGTGCTCTGGCAGGCTCCTTTTGACTTTGTCATAACAGCACCTCATTCACAAGTACCCTTCCCCAGTAACATACCCATCTGACCGTCTTCCTGGCTGTCAGACTGACAGCTGCTCTGCAGGGAAAAATTGCTGAGAGAAATGGATGCATGCAATCTCTCCCTTCAGCAGAGTGTGAGAGAAGCACACGATTTGTCCATCCAGTCAGGCCCATGAGATGGGGAATCTGCTGCTTTAACAGGTCCTTATGGGGGCAAAATCCCACTGACTTCAGTTTGGGAGTCTTGCCTGAGCAAGGACTTCTGGGTTTGGCCCTCAGATAACCATTTCTCTAAACTCCTCCACTCATGTAAATCTCCCCATTTTGGGGGGCAGTCCTCTGGTAGTTTTGAAGCAGGCCTCACTAAAACTTTAGTTCACGATATACTTTATTTTCAGTACCATCCTCCTTTGCTTAAAACCAAACATGATCTGCTCAAGTAAATTTCAGTCACTCTCTGCTCTGTTATCTTTCTTGGACTGGACCCGTTTGGTGGGGAACTTTAATTTTTCTTCCCACTGTTTCTCTTCTGGCAACACTGCTTAGCAGCTTCTCTCTGGGCAGCTACACAGGGCCTTGTAAACCATCCACAGTGCTGTTTTGGGGATCAGCCAGCAGAAGGTGCTACTGTACACTCGTCCTGTCTCCACTTGAGTTCAAACAGTATTGACAATATGACTTTTCCGGTTAATGCAGTAAGTCTGTAGTGGAGACAGGACCTAACAAGCTGGAATCTTTCTGGTCTTCACAGAGCAGGAGGTCTTAGCCTGCTGATTAGCCTGGGTCTCTCCTTAAGTCAGTGAAACGTACTTCATGGAGCTTGGCTTTGGTTTTGTCTTCTGGCCCCCTTGCTTGAAGTATCACTACTGTCAGCTCAGGGAAGTCTCTCTCTGCCTCTCAATGCAAACTGGGACTTACTGAGCAAGAGAATGTATTTATGACCTGACGGGACCACGCCTCATTTTTGGAAGGTTAGTTAAGGTGAAGGGCTGCAGCCTGTATCCGGACTTTCCTCAGCTCCTGCTGTTTAGAAATCCACACTCTTTTTGCGATGGTACAGATAACCTGTGTCTGGGATCTGTTGTATGTATCTTCATATCCAATAGAAATGCACATAAACTACTTGCTGGTGTGTTTGTACTTCTTTCCCCCTACACGGTGAGCCAAGTTTTCTGTATCTTTCTAGAGAGAATGATGTTCTTTTCCTGTATCCTAATTACAGGCTGCATCCACCATGGAGTGTGCATAAAATATTTGCAAGTAACCAGGGAGAGCAGGAAATGCTGGGCATGGGGTGGGTCAGTGCTCTGATGCCGATGCATCACTAGATCCATATTGCTGCTTGTGGGGCTGCACCATAACAGGGCCCTCCTTTGTGTGTTAGGAGGAAGCATTGATGAGCTGGCAGCCAGTTCAGCATTTTAGCAAGAGTTGGGGGCAAGGTGCAGTACATTGTACCCTTTCCACACAAGAATGCTGATGCTGTGTTTACACTACAGACTTCTCCTGCCAGCAGAGTTTTGTCAGTCTGGGGTGTGAAGAGCAATGATCACTGACCGACTGAGCTGTGCCAACCCCAGCCACTAGTGTAGATACAGCTATCCCACCAAAACAGAACTTTAGCTTATCTTGCTCAGGGCGGCTGGAATAAGCCATATCAGCAGAAGCGCAGTTTTGCTGGTTTTAAGCTGCATCCACGCTAGGAGTATTTTGCCTATATAGTGTAGACATGGCCTGAGCCTGCCGGCCTCAAACAGCATTCAGGGAATCGGCTGCTTTACCTCAGGCCTGGCCCTTTGTTTATCACTTGCCAAACACTGGCCCGGGGGCTTGTCCCCTGTTCCTCCTCCCCGTGCTCTTCTCCTTGATGCCATGTAACCTCAGTGGCACTGAGCTGCAGTTTTGATTTTGCCTTCGTGGGGATGTCACTCCAGATGAGCCCAATTTTACACAGGTCTTGTGGCTGTCGTGAGTTGGGCTTGCACTGTATCCTGTCCCCGGGCAGAACAACTGCTCCTGGTGAAGCTGGGGGTGGCAAAGAACCAGCCTACCCAAGTCAGGATTGTCTTTGAGCGTCCCTTCAGGCTGTAAGTGGTGCCTACGCTCGCTCAAGGAGAGCTAGAAGCAGGGATTTCCATTAATGGGATGTAAAGGGATGAGATCTCAATGGAAGCACAGCTTCTCCCTGGGCTGTTAGGCAAAGACTTGAGTAATGCACCAGCCCACGGACCTGGAGGCCTTTGGGTGCTGAAAACTGCCAGGCTTGGCTTTAAATGTAAGGCATCAGAGGGAAATCGACTCCTCTTGATGCCATCCCAACAGCCTCCCCCCTGTGAGGGCCTTTTTCCTCCACTTGCTGTGTGACCCCTTGTACTAAGCACTCCTATGGGACCCTGCTCTGAACTGCAGCTACCCCTGGCGATCTCCCCAAATGGTACCTCTGAAGCACCAGTCCTGGCATGGCTGTTAATGATCAGCTGGAAGGGGCTGTGGAGTGGAGGGCAAAAAGCGGGTGGTGCCTTTTGAAAGAGGAAGGGCTTGGCAGGAAGCACGTATCAGGAGATGTTGCCCAACCTGCACAGATGTCCTGGAAATGGATCCTGCTGCTGGAGCCTGTCAGCACTGTGAGGTTGGGAAGCAGCATCCATAAGGCTAGTATTGCACCTGTGGTGAACCTCTTCTGTCCCCTGCAGGAGACAGACCCCTGTGTCCTTGCCAACCAGCTGGGCTGCTGCAGGCTCTGGCATGCGGTGTTCCGAGAGGGGGATTGAGGGTTACGTTCACCCAGCTGGGCCCGAGCCCTCCTTTTCAGCTAGCTTTTAACATTTCCTTACCAAATAAAATGTGGTTCTTTAGCTGGACAGTGCACTTTAAGTTGGAAAGCCTGTCTCTTTCACCAACAGAAGTTGGTCCAATAAAAGATATTACCTCACCCAGCTAGTCTCTCTTAGGTGAATGAGGCAGTTCACACCTCTCCGAGCCATAGTTCCAGGCTCTCTGCAGATTTCTCTCTGCTGTAGTTATGCTTGGTTCATATTTTTGAGATTTTATTCACAACCATAACAGTTAGAGACTTACTTATTATGATTATTTTACGTATGAAAGCTGAGATTGTGGAGAACAAGATGACAGATTGAGACAGGTGCCACGCCCCTGTCTCGCTGCATACTAGCCCATTCTGGGCCCTGCCAGGAACAATATTTCCCCTCTCTATATCACCGACCCACTACCCTGCTAGGGCCCACAGGCAATTCCTATATGACACAGTGTACTGCAGGCTTTTGCCATCAATGTCAGCGGGATCCGGATCCAGATCCATGAGGATGGAAGGTTCAAGAGAAATGGCAGAATCAGTTTTAGCATGGCCAATATTTCAATAATTTTTTCAACATTAAAAGTCTGTTTAAAATCATGATATATTTATAAAGGGATTATATTAATGCTACAGCATATGTGTAGTAAAAGTATTAATAGCTTTCTAGAATAATTTTACCAATACAATATATAACATGGATACTATATATTTTAATATATAATTTAGTATTATCTTACATAAATTCAGGGCACCGGCACCTGCATTCCTCCTCTATGGTTCAGCAAGGGCACCCACTCTAGGCTGCCAGCTCCCCAGCTGTGGCCTCTCTTGGGTGGAGACCCACGGTTCTCTCCCTTCTGATCAGGGTATTTCCAGGCTGAACGGTTGCAAGCACGTTTTAGTCTCAAGGTAAAAGCAATACAGACAAAACATATTAAAAACAATAAAAGAACCTACACACGTGCTAATAAGCTTCCCAGAGATCACCCCAACTCCAACATGGGCTCTGGCTGGTGAGCAGGCCTTCAAATCCCCACACAGAGGTTTGCTGGTGGTTTCAATTTTGTTAACACCCTTTGCTCAGAACAAGATCCATCATGGATTGGTGAGTGAGTCCTTTATCCACAATCGGGGTCTTCAAAGAGACCGTGAAAAGGTAATCAGCCAGACAATGGGTCCTCTCCTGGAGGCAAAACTTCCATAAGCCGAGTTATTGACTAATCGGAGGAATTATATTAGCATACTACTCCTGCCCCCTAGGGATTTCCTGAGAAACCCACTTAATTTTAAAAGTTCATATTGTTTCAAAAAGTCATTTGAAGTTCCTACCATTTCCCAAGATTCACATTAGTCGTGCCTCCTAGGAAAATTACATACAATCCCATAATGACATGTAAACAACTGTATTTTAATACCATCAACACCAAAGGTATTGAATTTAATTCAGTAAGGTTCATCCAGGAGATTGCCCTGTTTGCCACAGTGAACTTTAAATGTATGTCTACACAGTATTTTGGACCAAGCCTCCCAGCCTGGGTCAACAGACATATGACCTCTCCTCCCCTCCCGCCCCATGCTTCAAAGCCTAAACTCCAGCTCAAACTGAAACTTCAAAGCACTGTCAACACTGGTATTTTTAGAGTTCTAGCACAAGTCCCCCTGGCCCATGTCTCTCGACCTCAGGCTGGGAGGCTCACTCCAAAATACTATATAGACATTCCTTAAGAGTTAAAAAAATCATGAGTCAGGCCCCAAAAATCAGGAGAATGGCTTCATTTTTTAAAAATAGTAAATGTCGAATTTTGTGCTTTTTAGGGGGTCACATTTTCAAGCTTTTCTCTGCAGCCAGGAGGGCTAGAAGCTTACTTTTCTTTTAAGCTGAGATAATCACATGACTCCATGAGCTGGGGCTTTAGGAAAAAAAAGACCCTATGTTGTGAGACTTGAGATAAAATTGTGAGGGCTGGCAACACCATCTAATTTTAATGAGTCTAGCACAGGGGTCGGCAACCTTTCAGAAGTGGTGTGCCGAGTCTTCATTTATTCGCTCTGATTTAAGCTTTCGCGTGCCAGTAATACATTTTAACGTTTTTAGAAGGTCTCTTTCTATAGGTCTATAATATATAACTAAACTATTGTTGTATGTAAAATAAATAAGGTTTTTAAAATGTTTAAGAAGCTTCATTTAAAATTAAATTAAAATGCAGAGCCCCCCGGACCGGTGGCGAGGACCCAGGCAGCGTGAGTGCCACTGAAAATCAGCTCGTGTGCCGCCTTCGGCACCCGTGCCATAGGTTGCCTACCCCTGGTCTAGCAGTCTCAATACACATTTCTGCTAAAAGGAAAATTGGAATATATTCCATATAGGAAAGGAAAGGGTGAGAGTGTGATAGAGCAGGGGTTCTCAAACTGGGGTTTGGGACCCCTCAGGGGGTCGTGAGGTTATTTCATGGGGGGTCACGAGCTGTCAGCCTCCACCCCAAACCCTGCTTTGCCTCCAGCATTTATAATGGTGTTAAATATATAAAAAAGTGTTTTTAATGTATGGGGGGGGTCGCACTCAGAGGCTTGCTGTGTGAAAGGGGTCACCAGGACAAAAGTTTGAGAACTACCGCGATAGAGGCGCTGAGCCAGATCTTCAGCAGCTGTAAACGGACACTCTGGCGGCGCCCCGTGCCTGTGACAGAGACAGTGATCCTGTCTCACACCAGTTTCACACCACTGGAGCTGTTCTATGGTGCACCCATGTCACTGACAACGAAATCAGGCAGGGGAACCCAAGGACATGAAAGCAAACCCTGGGCTTGAACTCCGCTCTCATGAAATGGGTCAGCAGTTGCCCCACTGAAGTCAGGGCAGGGGGGAAGTTACACGGGAATTAAATTAAAACCTGTCCCTCGTGTGAGTGACCTGATCTCCGGGCGTCTGAAGAGCCCCGCCTAGGCTGGAGGAAGGCCCCTTCCCCTTTAAATGCGAATTGTTGCGTGGGCCCGGCTGCTGTTGACACGGAGCCTTGCAGGGCGCTCTGCCGCTGGGAGCAGAACGGGGTCAGGTTGCTGTAACCTTACCACCGGGGGTCCTCTCAGGTCAGTTTCACCTCTGCGGGCTCTTGGCTTGGCACTGGAGGGGTGGTGGAACGGAGGCGGGCCGAACGTTCCCTTTTGGAACGCGGCCCGGCTGCATTGTTGCTCTGCGGGTTCTGTTCCGTGCACGGGGCTTGTGCCGCTGTATTCTGCAGCTGCTTCTGCTGTGGGATTTGGCGGGGGGGAGCAGGGAGGTTAGAGACCATGGTGCGGGAGTCCTGCAATTTGCTGGGAAGGGGTGAGGGGATGGGACTGGGAGGGGAGGCTGGTGGTGTCCTCTTGATTTCACACCGTGGCATTTCTCTGCTCTGGACATTGGCTCCCCGGATGCAGCTAACTCTCCGGGCTTGTAATGCTCGGGTGGAAATGAAAATAGGCTCGGAATCTGCTAATTGACTGTCCAATGTCTGGGGGGTGGAGTGGAGATGCTGCTGCTATTGTGTGTTTTTTTTAAACGGGATACTCTGAAATAGCTGTCAGGGTAACTTCTTATGAACCACAGCCATTTTCATACTGAACAAAGGGGGATCTGTTTCCACAGCCTACGACTGTCTGGGCTTTGATCCGACCCAGCAGCGAACCGCTTCACTGAGGTGCCATTGTACAGAACAATGGGAAATGAGTATGGAGGAAGACTAGAGGGAACCCTGCTGTGTGTTATTAAAGCTTGATCAATGGTGCTGGTATAAAAGTCGGAAGGAATCCCCGTTCTGCTGAGATATTGCCACAGGGCTGCGTTTGGGCTTGTTGCTTCAACCTGCCAGTGTTCCCATGCTAAATTGGGTCCTAGAAGCAATCCAGTGTAATTAGGAATCCTAGACTGCAGTAGTGCCTAGAGGCCTTGATTGGGATCTGGGCTCCATTGTGAAAGGAGGCATTGTACAAACAGACAAAAGCCCTGTACTGAAATGTACAGTCTCTAAAGAATATAGCAGGAGAGTTCTGCACAGCTTAGAGTGATGGGATAAAGCCCTTCATGTCTTGGTCACAGGTGCAAATCCCATGTCAGCAGTACATTAAAGCAGTCTTCATTTGGTGACCTCCTATCAGGTGTATGTTTAAAACAAAAGAAAACCCTCTCAGTTGGAATTAGCCCCTGGCTGATAGTCTCTGCTGAGACTGGAGATCCAAATCATCTTTCCCTGCCTGATGTGATTTCCCCCCCCCCCCCGACTTGAGGACATTGGAGTGGGTGAATCTAGCCCTGCCCCATCTCTGGGGAGGTGCACAGTTTGCTCCCCAGGGCCCTTTTTGCCTAATTCTTAACAAATAACAGACAAAATGACTGAACAGTCTCTTTCATTTGTTCATTTCAATATAAAATGGTGTTTATAAATAATACTAGCTTGTGCAGGTCAAAAATCACTGCAGGTAATTAATTAAATAGAAATAAACCCAGAGCAAGTGTCCTCAACACCCTCATCTAATTCCTCTTGCCTTTAAACCCCCCCAAAATGTCATTGACCCTCTCTTCTTGACCTGGGCTCTTACTCTGAGCTTCAGCCTGCTTTTCCAGCCTGGCCTTTTCTGTTTGAATGTAATGGGCCAGATCCCCAGCTGGTGTAAATCAATATAGCTCTATGGAAGTCAATGGGCTGGGTCCCCAGCTGGTGTAAATTGGCGAACTCCTGACCTCGATGGAGCTATGCTGTTTTAGGCCAGCTGAGGCTCTGTAATAGGAAAATATCATCTGCTGGTTGAGATTACGGCTGATCAGTGTTAAATGCTCGCTTGAGAATGTCACTTTAAAAACCAGGATTTTGATTCTTCTTAAACACTAACATTTTTATACAGCGCTTGGAGAAAAATTGAATAGCTGCTTCATTTCCTTGCCCCCACGTCCCTATCTTGTTAGATACAAAGAGAGCCTTGAAACTTACAAATACTCTCACACATAGAGTGCATTTTAATATTTGAGGGGACAGATGTAGAAAGAAGAGAAAGTAAAACTTTGGGAAAGGCACCAGGGGGCGGGAGAGAGAGAGCGACCCAGGGTATGTGCTTGTTTGGATGTGTGGGTATTTAAATATTTCTTCTCCTGCTGTGATCTCATCTGATCTTGTTAAGCAGGGTCAGGCTGGGTAAGTGCAACAGGCCATGCTCAACATAGTGACTGGTTTGAAAATGATACTGCGGTTACTGCAGCTTCCTGGGGCAGTGAATAGGCAGTGTTCTGTGGCACGCACTGTACTCTGATAGGAGACCTCCAGTGGTAACACAGGTCCCTGTGAATGAAAGTAATACTGACCCCAGTGCCTCAGCATGGAGCTAGGGGCCCTATACCACCAGGGTGCTGTCCTCTTCTGGATGAGATGCAAAACCAAAATAGCGACCTTCAGCTCGGACAGAACTGGGGACCTAAGAGCATGAGCCACTACAGGCCTGAGTCCCCTCCCTGGGACCTGCAGCAGAGGTCTGTCACAGTGGAATGGGCATAAAGGGGGATATGTAATACATGCTGAACAGGGAGTTTCGTTCACCCCTGTGTCTAGCTCCCTCTTATCCCAGAGGTGGCCGCATTTCAGCAGCAGGTGGTGTGGCTCCTCGTTTGGCAGGCACTTGAGGATCCTCCTGGCTGAAAAGAGCAGCTTCAGTGGAACTTGCTGTCACAGACCCATCCAGTTCACATTCGCCCTCCAGACCCAAAGGGAGGGACTGGGAGTGAGGCTGGGCAAAGCAGGTTGTCTGGACCCTGTTCTATTGGTCATTTGATCCTGTAATTTTTCCTAACTCCTCCTCCTGGCTCCTGTTTGCAGACACCCCTTGTGGTGGGGGCTGTTTCTGGAGAGGCTCTGGGGGCTGTTCCCACCCTTCAGAAAAATGCTTTGTAGTGAAAAGGAAAAGAAGCCCAGTGGTTAAAGTGTGAGCCTGGGGGGGTCAGAAGAACCAGGTTCAAAACCTGCTCTGCCGTACTACTTGTGTGACCTGGCACGAGTCCCTCTCTGACTCAGTTCCCCATCTGTTAAATGGGGATAACACTTCCCTGCCTCAGACAAGTGTTGGGAGGATAAATACCCTCAAGATTGTGAAGTGCTCAGATAAATACCTCCGGCAGATCTCCTGATCTGGGGCAGAGGGAAATCTGGGAAGTACTGAGCATTCTTTTTCTTAGCCCCCAGGTCAGGGGTAATCCATCTTTTTTTTTTTTTTTTGGTCACAGTCCAAATTTCTTGGTCTAGATATAGTGAAAGGTCCAGATTCCAGAGAAAAGAATAAAAAATGATGATAAATAAATTAAAAAGACTTTGGGAGTCTGTTCAAAACCGTCTGGCAATCCGGCTTGGGCCCACGGTCCGCTGATTGATTACCCCTGTTGTAGGTGATCCACATGGGAGAAGCTTCTGTCTGCACTTGAATAGCTGAAGCGGAGAAAGGGGGTGAAAGGGGCTTTGTCTCCTTTGTGAACAGTGTCTCCTTCTTTCAGTGCCCAGAGGTTCCTTGCTGCAGTGTGTTACTGAGCCTGTGACTGGCCCCTGCCTGGGGATCGAGTTCTCAAGATGGAAGACAAGAAGAAGAAGAGGAGTCCGAAGCCTGGCTTAGCTCAGCCTGTGTCGTCCAGCGCTCTGCGCAAGCTGCCCGTCCCCACCAGCAAAAGCACCACCTTCTCTCTGGGGCTGCCTCACCTGCCCTCACCAAAGCAACGGGCCAAATTCAAAAGGTCAGTGCTGGAGGCTGGGATGATGGGGAGCCTGGGTTAGAAATGCTGCATGTCCCCAGGTATTAAACCTGAGACCGCGAGCACCAAAACCACACAGGCCACTCCTGCTTGAGCAACCCAGGGCTCGAGTTGTGCCCAAATGCTCTGCGATGCCGGTCAGGGACGTTTGGGGGAAGGTGAAGCAGCGTTCCAGTACGATCACTTACTGCAAATGCCGGGAACCCGCTCCAGAAATGATGTTTTTTAGGACTGGAGCTACAGCAATAGCTCCTTTTAGCTCTAAGTAGCAGGCTGCTGTACTTACAAAGAACCGTGAGCTCCTTGGAGGAAAGACAAGGCTAACAAATTAGGAGGTTGCATCTCTCGGCATGGAAAGGCCTCCAGCCAATGTTCATGTGGGTTTGTGTTTTCTATCTAGGGTGAACAAGGAGAAATCTCGTCTGCCTCAGCCTGGGGGCAGTGGGGGCGCAGCACTGGGGGCCCCTCTGCAGCATTCCTTCCTGACCGATGTCTCGGACGTTTACGAGATGGAGGGTGGGCTGCTGAACCTGCTCAATGACTTCCACTCGGGCAAACTGCAGGCCTTTGGTAAGCAGGGGGCAACTCCTCTAAAGGAGGGGTTCATCAGCCTGAATGGGGTCCCCAAAGCATCAATGCCTGGCCCTAGGGGTGCTGGGAGCTAGGGCCACCCAAAGCCACCATGGCTGGCACTGGAAGATCTGGCTAATCTGGGAGGCTCCTGCTAGCTGTTGTGTGATGTCTGGGGCAGGCCCAGCCCATCTGTAATGGGAAACCCCGGGAGAGCTGGTTAGGAATCTCTACTGCAAGGGGATGTGTCTTGGTGGTTTAATGTAACCAGGTCCCTCTCCTGGGCGGCACAGGGAAGGAGTGCTCCTTCGAGCAGCTGGAGCACGTCCGGGAGATGCAGGAGAAGCTGGCGCGCCTGCACTTCAGCCTGGATGTCTATGTGGAGGAGCTCTCTGAGGACCAGAAGAAGACGGTGGCAGATAGTAACCTAGATCAGCTGCTGACTAATGTGAGTACCAGAGAGTTCTCTCCTCATGGGCTGATCCCTGAGCCGTCCCTCGAACGCATCCCTGCTCCCTCCAAGCCCCGCACTTAGACTGTGACTAGCGCAACAGGGCCCTGACCCCCTCTGGGGGTTACCACAATACAGATAATGCCCCCTAATGATCTTCAAAGGCAAAGTGGGGCCCTGTTCCCTTTATTGTCATAGCTGCTTGTGCTTATTCTAATGGTGGTTCTGTTTCCCTTTTCAGTTGGAAGAGCTCAGCAACTCCATGTATCCTTCTGCCGGGGCCTATGGGGGCCAAGGGATTCTTCAGGGGGCCTGTTTTGTATGTGCACAGCTGGGTGACCCCTCAGGCAGGGAAAGGAAGAGGGAATCAGCTTTGAGACACTTGATCGCCACTCTCCAGTATCTCCCCAGACCATGGCATTGGATCTGAGGTGCCATTAATAGATGCTGGTCATCTTCTGCCAGAGTCTCTAGGCAGGGAGCCCTGTAGAGCTTGGAGGCTCCTTGGGAATTGCCAGGGGTTTCAAAGACGTCAGCACTCTGCTGGCGCCAAAGGTTTCCAGGCGAGCGTGTCACGGAGACCTCTGTAGGACAACATTTTAGAGGGAGGGTTGGGTTGGAAGGAGGAGCCTGAGGGTGGGATCTGGAGGAGTGAGTAACATCTCTGAGCGGCACAAGTCGTGCTTTGCCCATCAGTGGGCAAAAGGTTAGAGGGAGCCCTAATGCACTGAGCCGGAGCAGTGATGGATGCTGGCTGGAATCCACTTCTAAGGGTAACCAGGGCACCACCAACGGAGTGAGTAATGCGTCTGGGTCTACGAAGCAGCTGGATAACTGTGGGACCAGTTTGAATTGGCATGTGGTACTGGCCACTCTTGGAGACAGAATCCCAGCTAGGGTGACTCGGTGGTCTGATCCAGTATGGAAATCCTGCATCACTGGCTGGGCAGGACAAGAGGGAGTAAAATCTCCTGCTTCAGGGTGTCAGCGCTCTCCGTAGAGGTCAGGAAGGAACCCTTCCCCCATCTCTGCCATGCACAGACTATGGCTGGAGGGAGGAGACCAGACTTTTTATTGGACCATTGGTCTGTCCTATTGGGGCAGGGAGATGCTATATTCTATGGATCATTGGTCTGATGAGGCGGGATACTGCATGGTACAAACCATTGCCAAATCCTATGTTCCTGTGCTGCACAAGTGGGGGTGGGGGCACTGGTGCTGGAACCGGAGGGGCTATGGGGCCATGCCCACCACTTTTTAACATGGATGTAGTTTGGGTGGCGGAGGGCGGTGTTGCCCCTCTGAACTGCAAGCCTTGGACAGGCACGGAACGGCCCAGCCCCTGCCAGCGCCACTCTGCGCCTGCCCAAGGCTTGCAGTTTAGGGGGGCAACACTGCCCCCGGCCTCCCCAAACCATGCCCATGTTAAAAAGTGGAAGGGCCATGGCCCCTGGGTTCTCCCAGTTCTGGTGCCGTTGCTACCGGGTACAGAGACTGGCTCAGTTGGAAGGTTTGTGTTCGGAACTCCAGCCTCTCCCCCCAGGGATCTTGTCAGTGATGAGGCTGCAGCTTGATCGATTCTTCTTCTTCTTCCTTAACATAAAACTCAGCCAAAAGCTGCACCTAGCGGAGAATCCAGACCTGGAGGACGCTGCCGCTGCCACTGCCTAGCTGAAAAGGCTGCTTGGTCCCTCCATGGGCAGCATTGAGGATTCTGGAGCCAAGGGAAAGCTGCACCAGTTTGAATCTCTGTCATGGCCACTTCTGAACTGTACAGAAATGTAGGAGTATAAAAGGAAGGACACCCCTAAGAGATGGGGTTTGGGAGTGGGCTGGGGGAGGGGCATGTTGTCTAATAATTTTGTATCAAAATCCAGGATTTTTAGAGCATCCGAAAAGGCCAAACACTGTCAAGGTAACTTGAAAAGTAAACCAGAAAATCGTAGAGGAAAGACTGGGAATCAGCAGTGCTGGGTTCTCTCTCTCCTGATCTGTTCCCAGCTCACCATGTGACCTTGGCCAAGTCGCTGCACCTCTCTGTGCCTGAGTTTTCTCTCCCCCCCCACCTTCTTTTTAAAAATGGGGTTAATGATACTTGAGCAACCTTGTATAAAGCTCTTTGAGATTCCTGGATAAAAGGTGCCATAGCAAACAAAGTATTGTTAATAGGAGATAGAACATTTCATTTTCAGGCGGTTGGTTCCACTCTGATTCAGTTTGGACCATTCAAGGGGCTGTGAGGGAAATGAGTTTGGTGGGTTTCAGTCTGGTTCCTAATGGACAAACAGCTACATCACAAAACCTGCTGCTGTAACTGGCTTCCTTGTTGACAGTCCTCCCAACAGAATAATCAAGGCCTGAAAAGCCATGAAGATTGAACTCCCCTCTTTCCTCGCTCCCAGACCTTGTCTTTCTAAGGCAGGTTTGTGAAACAGTGGAAGAATACAGCTGCTAGCTGTGCAGGAGCTGCAGAGGCATTTAAAATATCTCTGGCTCCAGCCCTGTTGATCTGGCAGTTGTCACCAGCATGAAACTAACTGAAATGTAAACACAGCAGCAGCAACCAAGAAAAGTGCAGTAAAGGCTTTTGTTGGTTTAGCTTCCGCCTGTTCTACAGTGCAGCTGCCAGCCCAGAACTGAAACCACCAGGAGAAGTGTGATCACTTGAAATGAAACAGAGGTTTTTGGGGCTAGCACAAAAATTTCTGCTAATAGTGTAACAAGTCATTCACCGCTGCTGCTGTCTGATCCTTTTCCTCCAACATTTTTTAATGGTTGAATTTTTGCACTGATAAAAATTTTTATATTGAGGCCTATAACTACCCCTCTTGCAAAATACCCTGGGCTTTTTGTGGAAATTCTTTCTATGTGGGCTGGGTAATATTTCCATTCCAAAAAGGATAGAAATGATGACTTTGCTGGACCAGACATCAAAAGTAAGAAGAGAGTTTAAACAATTACAATTTCTACACTTACACACACATCCAGTCTTAAACATCTAAGCTGCTTCAATTTGACACTGAAGGTGAATATGAGTGTATGTTTACGTGTCAGAATGTTTTCTAGTAGTAGAATGTAGCACTAAATAATGAAATTGTAATGTAAATAAACTAGTTGTGGTATTTTGCTGTTTTCACCACCACTTTACACATTAATTAAAGAAAGAAAAATGGACTGAAGTTTAAAACAAAGGAGGGGGTAGCCCAGACGTCTGGGTTCAATGCCTGCATCTTTCCTAGCTTGTGATTTTCAGAGTGACTAATAGTATTGGGTGTCTAATGTGTGAGACACCTGCATGGGGCCCGATTTTCAAAAAATGCTGAGCATGTTCCAGCTCCTTTACAATGTCTTGGGTTAGGTTCCTAAATACTGAGGCTTGCAAATCTTGTCTATTAACCGCTCTCTGCCTCAGTTAGCCCATCTGTAAAATGGGGCTGCGGATGAATGGAGGAGGCATGTGGGTAAAGCACTGGGAGATGCTCTACCCCAGACAAAGAGGCAAAGTTTCCCTTGGAAAGCAGCTGGTTCCGGGCAGGGGTGCACCCAGAATTTTGCTAAGGAGGGGGCCAGGTTACCGGCCCAGCTGCCCCAAATCTGAGGGGCAGAGTGACGCCCTGTGCTTGGTCACAATGCCACGCGCTTGCATTTGGCCCGGCCACCCCTGCATCCGGCCAGCAGGAAGGGGGCTCTGCTGTTACATCACCCAGCTGGTCAGGAGGCAAAGAGGGGGGCTTGGGCCCCCTTTTGCCCCTCCAGAGGGTCACTACCTTCCAGTGGCTAGGGGTTCAGCGGGGGGACCCCCCCCCGCCTGTGTGGCACTTGGCCAGGGGCCCACTCACTGCCCTTCCCCTGCTGGCCACAGGCTGTCTACTGCCAGCCCCGGGTGGGCTGGATTTAGGTGGGACCGACAGTAATGGGTCTCCTCCCCGCACGTGACCGCAAGAGGGCAGACACTCCCGCAGGCTCTGAGGGGACACTGCAGTGCGGGGGGCGGGAGGGAAGGCGGCGGAAGAGCCCATCCCCTGCCTGCTGTCGCCACTCGATGACGCCATCGGCCGGAGCCCGGTTACCAGGCCGCGCCAGCGGCGGTTGGGGGGAGATGGCGGCGGAGCAGCAACGGCTGGGGAAGGGGGTGACGAGGCTGCAGGTGAGGCGCGCGCGGGCTGGGCGGGGCGTGGGCAGGTATTGGGGAGAAGGTGGGGGCAGGCCCGGGGGGGCTGTATATCTGGGGGGGGCAGGTCCGGGGGGGCTGTATATCTGGGGGGGGGCAGCTGGGGCTATATATATCTGAGGAGTGGGGTGATGCATCTGGGGCAGGTCTGGGGGGGGCAGATGTATAGCTGAAGGGTGGGGTGATGCATCTGGGGCTGGGGCAGGTTGGGGGGGGCTGTATAGCTGAGGAGTGGGGTGATCATCTGGGGCAGGTCTTGAGAGAGGGGGGATGTATAGCTGAAGGGTGGGGTGATGCATCTGGGGCAGGACCCGGTAGGGATGACTGTATATCTGGGGTGGTACATCCGGGTGTTGGCACATCTTGGGGAGATAAGAGGCAAAGTTTTCTTAATCTATTTCTGCTGCCCCAGCTCCTGCTGTCTCTTGCGCTTATGCTTAGTCTGGAGACTCTGGGTCAAACACCTCCCTACCGTAAACTGGTGCAGCACCACTGAAGGCGATGGTGGGCTGTTCTCTTACTCCAGGGCTGAGTTTTGCCCCTCTGCTCTGGTTTCACTGAGGGTATCACAGCTCCTTGGTGCTCCTGTCTTTAGTCTTTTTTCCTGTGTGTTTCATAGAAACAGGCACAATATACAAATAACATTACGGGCCTTGATCCTGCAGCACTGATGTCAGTGGCAAAATTCCCATTGACTTCAAAGTGAATGCATTTTTATCTGTATTCAGAGTTTGTTTGCATTTGAAAGTTAATTTGGATTAAGGTGGGGTGTGAATTTAAAACACAGTAGCCCTTAGTAGCTCCATGGTATGAGACATTGTAGACAAGCCCTAATATGGTATGAGTAAGTCACATGTTCCTTAAAGAGGGGATGCCTTTTTAGTGTTGTCTAAAAGAAGCTTAACCACTGGTCTGGGGCAACAGCCCTATAGGCGTGTAGGAGAGAAATGTATCTCCTCAATGAAAGAGGTTTCCCAAAACTTGGAATCTTACCCTCTGAGGAAGTGACTTGAAAAGCACATTTGGAACTGTGTTCTTCATTCTATTCTAAGAAACTTTAAAAAGACCAAGTGAGAGAATTTGGGCTTTGTAAAAATAAGTTTTACAAAACGGAAAATTAGTAGAAAACAAAATCCAGTGGAAACCGTTTTAAAACACACACAAACATCCCCTGTAGTGTTTGAAACCTGTTTTTTCAGATTAATCATCTAGAAAGTGACACTGACTAGAGAAACAGTGAAATTGATGGGCTCTTTTCCCTGTCTTAGCCAGAAGAAATACAAAAAATAAACCAACAAGTTGCCTAAGCAGTAACAATAAGTTAGGGCCTGATCCTGCAAATATTCACTACCAGATATAATGCTCATGGCCATGAGTAGTCTATTTGACTTAAGTGGGACTACCAGGGTAGTTAGCATTGTGCTTTATAGCGTTTGCAGTATTGGGCCCTAAGATTTTATTCATGATTGTTTCTGTTTTAATAATCTAAGGTGCTGTGAAGTAATAGTAATGTTAGGAACGGGATAGATAAAACAGAAAATACCATAATGCTACTACATAAACCATTGGTATGCCCACACCTTGAATGTTGCATGTAGTGCTGATCACCTCATCTCAAAAAAGATATATCAGAATTGGAAGAGGCACAGAGAAGGGCAACAAGAATGATTGGAACAGCTTCCGTACAAGGAGAGATTAAAAAGATTAGGACTGTTCAGCTTTGAAAAGAGCTGAGTAGAGGGGAGGATATGATAGAGGTTTATAAAATCACGAATGGTGTGGAGAAAGTGAACAGGGAGGTGTTATTTACCTGTGTCGTAACACAGTAACTAGGGGGTCACTCAATTAAATTAATAGGCAGCAGGTTTAAAACAAACAAAAGGAAGTATTTCTTCACACAACACACAGTCAACCTGTGGAACTCGTTGCCATGGGATGGTGTGAAGGCCAAAAGTATAAGTGGGGTCAAAAAAGAATTAGATGAGTTAATGGAGAATAGACCCATCAATGGCTATTAGCCAAGATGCTCAGGGACACAACCTGATGCTCTGGGTAGCCCTACCTCTAATGCTAGAAGCTGGGAGTGAACGACAGGGGATGTATCACTCAAAATTGCCCTGTTCTGTTCGTTCCCTCTGAAGCATCTGCAAATCTTCTCTGTGATGGGAAACGTGTCAACCATCTCTATGACTATTTAGGGATCTCTGTCTTATCCTTCGTAGGCCTATGTCAGGGGTTATCTTGTGAGGAAGAGGTTCCAAAGCTTACAGGAGGACTATGAGAACACGGTAAAGGAGATTGAAGGGGATTTGGGTCAGTTGCAGTGGAAAGGTCGCTTCATACCAACTCCCGTCTTTCCTCAAAAGGTATGGTCCATTCAGTTCATAGTACGCAGTCACTCCTGGTAAAGGCTGGCATTGCTGATATGATCGGCATGTTCTCTGTGAATAGGGATTTTTTACAAAAAATGGTGTAGCTAAAACGGTATTCAGCACTTCTGCATGTAGCAGGTAGTTTCTGGACTTCATTATCACAATTTGTGCTTGGATTCAAACTATGGTCTGGCTAAATGCTATAAATACAGCCATATTGGGGAAACCTGGTTGTCTTCTGACACAATTAAAGCTTCCATCTCACACTATAGACTGACCTAGCCCTGTGTTAACCACTCAAATCATGGTGCTGAAGCCTGGAAAGAACCAACTGTCTCTTCTCCATGACAGACCCCATCTGTCCATAATACAACCAGGCACTATTTGAGACTTGCTTTCTTGTAGTGTTTGAACATGGGTCAGTAACAAGCTTTATAAAAAAAAAAATGTAGCTTGGATATAAACTGTTAACCATTTCCCAAACCATGATCATTTAAAACTCTTTTGTGGGCAGAGTGAATTTCTGGAAAGTATTGAGGAAAGTTATCAGACCTGGTTACAAACATCTACTAAGCGAGATCATCTTGGCCAGGAAGAGCCTAACCTTGTTGGATTTTTTTTTTTATTACTTCCCTCTATTCGTTAACTCTCCTCCATGTTTAACTTCTCAAACATTGTTTCTCCAGAAGCAGATGAAAGTAAAGCGATTAATTGATCAAGAGTCTGGATCCAAAGACCATAACAACACAGATAAAGGGCAGCAAAAGCATTGTCCTCTTGAGACACTAGAACCAGAAAAGGATTGTGACTGTAGGAGTTACATGAAACCTGCAGCCCAGCTTCAAGATGATGAGATGGTCTCAAGAGGTGAAAGCAACAGAGTGAAGCAAAATTTAGAGTGTGATGCAGATAAATCCACTGGACAGGACTGCAGCTTGTCAGGGGAGAATACGGAATGGAAGAACAATAGCAATGCATCATCTGTATGGAGCAACACTGTTCTGGAGACAGGGTCTACTGTAGCCAGCCAGGGTAAGAAACAGGAATAGGGATACACATTATAGCCAGCACCTCTGAACCCTTCCAGCATGGCATGTGTAACATGGCAACATACTCACCCACCTGAGCTAGATTGTTGGGGAGACAAAAGCCTCAGGAATAAAATAGAGAGACTAGAGCAATGAACCTTATCCAAGAGATAGCATAGAATGGAGTCTGAGGCCCCTCACATGAGTTTCCTGTTTAAATCATATCTCCTCTCCAAGGTCTTGTCTACACTAGGAAATTATCCATTGCAGATACACATTATTTAACTGCAAGGACAAACTAAACTTGGTTCCACACCAGCTCAGAAACCTTGATCAACCCCTGTTTGGGGCAGGGTTCCAGGTTTCTCACCTGGAAACCCTTCTTATCCAATTCCTCCCATTTTCCAAATGTAGGTTCTGCCTCCCAGTGAGCATCAATTGCAGGGGAAAATATACCCTCTTATCCAAACCTTTGTTTGCCTAAATAAATTCCATGTCACCTCTTCCATTA